ATATACACTATTTTAAAAACAGACTTCAATGAAATAAATTATATATGCATTAGTCTTACTTGGAAATCATCCTTCATCCTTCATCAGAGAAGCCATATGATAATCAGATGCTCAAATAATAAAAGGTTTTTCTAAATTGATAATGGACCAAATAAAGCAGTGTACTCATTAGTAAAGGGGAAGCACAAGGATGGGAAATTACTATCACCTAAGTATCACTATCACACTACATAAAGTCTGCTTTTGTTCTTTCCTCCAAAGGAAATTTAAAACAAAGAAAAACATCACATGACTTCTAAAGGAATTTCACTATGGAAAGGCATAACTTCTGTTTAGAGAGCAAAATAAACTCACCAAGGGCCCAATATTGTAAAGAAAGAGGAGAAAGAGACTGTGGAAATTTTCTAATGAAAACAAAACTATTATCAGAAGAAAAAAGCAGAAACCTGGAAGAGTACAATAAGCAAGCCAACAGAGCATTAAGACCAAAAGGTAAACCTTAACCCACCTGGAATTCCTTTCAAACACAGGGGAAAATACTTCAAAGAAATTCTCTTTTGCTTCACTTTTGGAAGGAACTGAATTATCAAAAGTAGGATCTACACTGTTAAATGCTCGTCTTTTCACTGGATCAGACAACATTTCATAAGCTGAGGAAAAAAATTACAAAGTCACATCACCATGACTCTGTACATCTTTTTTCTACGAAAAACATTTTCCCATTAAAAAAAGTTGTGAAATTTCATATATGAAATTGTGTGTTTGGGGTGGGGAAGATTTAATTTAGACAATAACAGCTCTAGCACTACTAGCTATAATCAAATTTAACTAAGTACTCGTGGTAGACAAAACAGGTAAATACTCACCTTCCAAAAAATAGGACACTCTAGGGAAAAGAGCGAGCTGGAAAATTAACTGTTAGATCCCAAGGTTATAAAGAATCAAAAGCTCTTAGGCTTCTGTGTAAGAATATGCCAATTTTCAAAAGGTATGCGTACAATTTTTTAAAAAATTGGTATCAAAATGTAAAATCATATTTAAAGACCCATTTAGAAATGGTTACCAACATTAGTTTGCTTAAGGCTATATGACTACGTTAATAGCAATAAAAGTTGCAAACTATGTACTATGATATAATCAACTTCTTGATTTAAATTAGCAAAACATCTGAGGAAGAGTTTAGGCCCACAGAGCACCTGAAATGGGAAAACGTCTGCATTACTATTCTCATCATTAAATACAATACTTACATAAACTAACTCTAGGATGAGATTCTCTTAAGAATTACCTGAAAACCAAAATCATATTCATTGCCACTGAGTTGATTTCGACTCATAGTGACCCCACAGGACAGAGTAGAACTGCCCCATAGGGTTTCCAAGGAGTGGCCGGTGGATTCCAACTGCTGACCTTTTGGTTAGCAGCCTGAGCTCTTAACCACTGCCCTACCAGGGTTCTCAAGAATCACCTGAGGATCTTATTAAAATGCAGACTGACTCAGTAGGTGTGGGGCGGGGCCTGAGATTTTGCATTTCTAATAAGCTGCCGGGTGTTGGTGATGCTGCTGTTTGTGGGGACCTCACTTTGAGTAGTGAGGCTCTAGGGAGATTGCTAGAAATAAACTGATGAAACAAAAAGTGTTTTAAAATGTTATTTGTTGTTGTTAGGTGCTGTTGAGTTGGCTCTGACTCATAGCAGCACTATCTACAACAAAATCAAACACTGCCTGGCCCTGAGACATCTCTACAATCGTTGCTATGTGTGAGCCCCTTGTTACACTCACTTTGTCAATCCATCTTGTTGAAGGTCTTCCTCTTTTTTGCTGACTCTCTACTTTATCAAGCATGATGTCCTTCTCCAGGGACGGCTCCCTCCTGTAACATGTTCAAAATACGCAAGACCAAGTCTCACCATCCTCACTTCTAAGGAGCATTCTGGTGTTCTTCTTCCAAGACAGATTTGTTTGTCCTTCTGGCAGTCCACAGTATATTCAATATTCTTTGCCAACACCATAATTCAAAGGCATCGATTCTTCTTCATTCTTCCTTATTCGTAGGATATTCATATGAGGCAATTAAAAATAGCATAGCTTTGGTCAGGCTCACCTTAGTCCTTAAAGTGACATCTTTGCTTTTTAACACTTTAAAGAGGTCTTTTGCAGCACATTTGCCCAATGCAATATGTCATCTGATTTCCTGACTGCTGCTTCCATGGGCGATGATTGTGGATCCAAGTAAAATTAAATCCTTGACTTCATATTTTCTCTGTTTATCATGATGTTGCTTATTGGTCCAGTTGTGAGGATTTTTGTTTTCTTTATGTTGAGGTGCAATCCATACTGAAGGCTACAGTCTTTGATCTTCACCAATAAGTGCTTTAAATCCTCTTCACTTTCAGCAAGCAAGGTGGTGTCACCTACATATCACAGGTTGTTAATGCATCTTCTTTCAATCCTGAGGCCTTGTTCTTTATATAGTTCAACTTCTCAGATTATCTACTCAGCATACAGACTGAATAAATATGGTGAAAGGATATAACCCTGACTCACACCTTTCTTAACTTTAAACCATGCAATATCCCCTGTTCTGTTCCAACAACTGCCTCTTGGTCTAAGTACAGGTTCCTTATGAGTACAATTAAGTATTCTGGAACTCACATTCTTTGCAATGTTATCAATAATTTGTTATGATCTACACAATCAAATGCCTTTGCATAGTCAATAAAACACAGGTAAACATCTTTCTGGTATTCTCTGCTTTCAGCCAGGATCCATCTGACAACAACGATATCCCTTGT